ATAGGTACTGTTGTTGAGTCTGTTGATGGTTTCCATGGCGGTATTTGTCATCCTGATGACTCTAAATCTAGCCTTAAAAATGGCAATTCTGAGGACAATGACAGCTTAGGTTCTCGAGCTGAAGAAAAAAATTCATCATCACCAGCCGTTTTTCATGATGAGGTGAATGATGACATGAGCCAAGCAGTCAACATGGGATCCACCTCGGAGAGCATTGATCTTGCCTTCGTTCATATTTCTCAGAAAGATGCTTTTCTTGTTTTTAGAAGTTTATGCAGACTTTCTATGAAACCCTTACCAAACCAAAATCCTGGAGATCCTAAATCACATCCTCTGCGTTCTAAAATCCTCTCACTACAGTTACTGTTAAGTATTTTACAGAATCCCGGGCCAGCTTTCCAATCTGGCGAGATTTTTATCACAGCTATAAAGCAATATCTCTTTGCTTCTTTACTTAAAAATGGTGTTATCTATGTACCAGAAGTGCTGGTGCTCTGTCTATCTATTTTCGCCTCTCTTTTGATCTACTTTAAACAACATTTAAAAATCCAGATTGAAGCTTTCTTCCGTGAGGTTCTTTTGGGTCTTCTGGAGGCCCCTGGGGCCTCTTTTGAAATCAAGTGGATCATTGCTGATTCTCTACATCGCATCTGTTCTGATGCTCAATGCGTTGTCGATCTTTACCTCAATTATGACTGCGAGCTTGTCTCAGCAAATATCTTTGAGCGACTCGTAGTCAATCTTGCCAAACTTGCCCATGGCGGTCGCAGCCCGTCAACCGAATCATCTGTGCTTGGCACCAGCTCCCTTTACAGCAATTCGACCGTTGCTATAGCATTGACTGCACATCAGGAACAGCAACTTCGTATCCGTGGTCTCGAATGTCTAACTTCCGTGCTTCATTGCATGGTAACTTGGTCACGGGAACTTTACGTTAGTCCAGAGCAGCAGTCATTTCTCGGATCAGAGCCGAGTGCCAGTCAAAATTCCGACTCGAGTATCGAAGTCAGCAGCACTAGCTCTAGTAAGTAGCAATTTTGCAAATAAGTGAATTTAAAAAAAAATCTGTATGCACTTGTTTCATTAAACTTTCTTGTAACTCAATGTGGATAATAATTTTTTTGACTAATGGATTGTATCTATAAGCTAATTCATTACGAAAGTATAGGATAGGGCCAATGCGTTTGGTTTGCATTTCTAGAAGTCATTTGGGGAAAATCCGCAAAATTATAGCTTCA